TGTTGCCCACCTTTTTTCACGGTCTTTTTTGAGGCTCTTTGTGAGACGTCGTTACAGCCGCCACTTATCCTTGCCTGGATCCAGAGTGGTCTCGATTTGCAACTCTCCACCAGAGCTACTGACTCAACAAACTTCCAGTGCCTCGGACGGGCTTTAGGTTCAGATACACAAACAACCTTCGCTGCGGAGTTTACTGCTCATCTGCTCATCTGATGCGATCCCCTTGTTCATCTACACTATCAGGCTACACAGCGTTTATTTCATGACCTATTTCTGATTCAAAGCGAGCATGAACGGCTGGGTCAGATGAGCAATGATGTGCTAGCCGAGTTTGCTAGTTGTGTCAGCCATCAGTGAGTCGGCGAGTGTGGTGCGTCAAAAACTAAATGGATATCTTTTGCATGCAAATTCAGAGTCTCAGGTGGTTTCGCTGTTACCGGCATGCTTTGATTCTTATGCTCCAAAGTTCTAGCGTAGCTTTGCTGTTGTGCGGTTCAATACCTCACCCAAACTAGGGGGCCTTATGTAGTTTGTCACTACAAGTCTCGGAGCTTAGGTTGTCGGTTTTCATTACTGAACAACAGTTCTTGGTAATAACGGGTCCACCTCGTCTGCTGTTCATCACAATAAAGTGTGTAATAAAAAAACATGCAAGCTCGGTTAGGCTCATAACCGGAATCAATACGATTTGAACATAAGCCCGCGCTTCTATCCATGGGTTTTTGACAAGAAGAGTTTGTTCCCGTGGTATTTTTTCTACTTGTATACAGGACTCGCAACGAAAGATTGATCAGTTTGTTAAAACCATTTGACCACTCGTTAGGACTGTTTTCCTTTTCCTTTGTGAATTTATGCGACTGGAAATTGTATTCTTTTAACTCTGAAATTAGCGTGACAGCCGCCTGTAGTTTTTGGAACACCAGGGTTAGATCTCTTATCAAATTATACGATTTTCTGTAAAGTGCAATTTACGAACTGATCTATTGCTTAGCCATAACTTTCTTGGCTGGCACGATAAACTCTTAATACATTTGGGTTGCGAACATAGCCCCTTCTCTGTCTGTGGTCATTCCAACGCCAAAACTGAATCACCATTTCTAGCCTACCTTCCATCTCATTGAAAACCGATTGCTACGAAATCTAACG